GGCTATGCCAACTCTGCAACGGAAATTCACAATTAGTGATTGTAAATTGTTGTTGTCAAATCAAGTAGTGACAAATAGCACTTTAAAGTTATTTACTTGCAAAATCGTTACATTGAATAATGATAATTCACTTGCTGAAAGAGTTGAAATAATTTCTCTTTGTTTTGCGAACAATGAAAATTCGAATAGAACTGCCCAGCTCTTTAATCTGCACCACCAGAATCGACAGGTCCATCGTAAGTACATCTTGGAATTGGTTAAAAATTTAGGGAAACTAGGTCTGTGGCTAATAAAAACGTGAACGTGAAATGGATGATCGTGAGGTGCATACACAACGTCCCGAAAAATTGAATGTTTGGGCTGGCATTTTTGGTAACCATATCGTAGGCCAATTCTTTTTACCTGGCAGTCTAACAGGAGAGATGTACCTGGAGTTATTAGAAAATACGATTCATCCAGCATTAGTGGAGATACTAGAAAATAACAACGAGTACTTGGAAAATCGTCTAGTATTTCAGCAAGATGGTGCGCCACCCCACTACGCTGCAAGGGTCAGGGTCAATATTTGGACCAAACGTTTCCAGGACAATGGATTGGAAGAAGAGGAGCTATTGAATGGCCTCCTCGTTCCCCGGACTGCAAAATGTACGGGAAGTATGGAAGTCGAAGACCAACATTTTCAACATTTACTTGATTGATTTTAGCTTTAAGCACTTACAATAAAATTGATTTAAATCTTAAAAGTTATAATCTACATAAAAATACCTTCAAAATAAGGTATCGCTCGACCCCCCATTCGATTTAAAATTTTGGGGGCACTTGTCACCCCCGCTATGGCTTTATCCCCAGAGGGGTGAAACTAGCAAAAAAATGGTTCGCTCTTGGATCAAAAATTGACGGGTACAAGGATTTTTTCGTAAACATTTTGAGGTCCCCAAAATAGGCTCTGTTTCGTTTTCAAATGGCCACCCTGTATGTATGTTATTCCAATAATTCAGAAATTGCAGAAATTATCAAAGTCCATTTCAAAAGTGGGTGTAGTAATCCATTATAAGCATCGAATGAATTCGCCTAGGTACATGTATTAGTCCAGTGGCGTGCCACTTGAGACATTCCTTTGGGTTTCAGTTGAGATTAGAGTTGTTTTTATGCATACAGATTAATTATATTGTATTATATCGATTTATAAAGTAGCTTTGATAACAATATTGTAATTATAAATTTTACGTTTCTAATAGTGGTACATACTTAATAGATTTTCTGGTTATTAATTAACTGGTCATTAACTTGGTACAATTGCAAGGCATCAGTGAAATTAAATAATCGCTTAGCTCGTAATGAGATTGACTCGGAGTTTGAAATGCATATATAAAGGTCTCGTAAATAATTGGGCATGTGTTTTGGATAGCTTCTCTAGAGGCTCTAAACTGCCGTGGACGATTAAGTGTTCAGAGAACGATCAGAACATAACCACACTCTAAATCCAGAAAAGAACATGCTAGTTAAATGTGTTGCAGAAATGCAGCAAATTGTGTAGAAACCCTCGGCAGATCATATACAGCAATGGATTAGCAGTAGGGGCATATCAATTCGTATATACCGCATCCCAAAGAGCAACTGAAATGGTTAGAAAACGTACAGAGCGGCCGTATTCCAATCCAATGGTTGTTGCTGATATTACAATTCCTGCAGCTTTGCAAACTACTTCCAGAAATGCGAATTTTGTTTTATGGGATTCAGGACCCTAATCGCATATTTATGATTGGTACAGAACAAAATCTGAACATCTGAATGTTAATGGAACTTTTAAAGTTGCGCCAGAACTATCCACGCATTGGTCAAAAACACCTGTATGCCTGTATTGTATGTACAAGACGTGTATTTTAAAAACTTTTGGAAGATAACGCTTAATCCAATAAGTGTTATCAGATTTTGAAAAAGCTATCCAAAACACGTGTTTAATGGTGTAGAAATTGTTGTGTGCTTATTTCATCTAGGACAGTCTCTGTGGAGAAGAGTACAACGATGCAATTTAACAGAGGATTATCTAAATAATGAAAATGTGCGCCAGGATACCAAAAGGCTTTTATCTTTGAGAACGATGGCCTTCGAAGAATTAGTTGAGAACTGCCCAAAGTGGACTGCTGCGAAAATACTTATATAGGACGAATTCAGCGAAATCAAAGAGGTGGCCCTTGTTTCGCAATTGCAGTCTGGAATGTTTAGAACAGAGTTGCACATGGACTTCCACGTACTAATAGTTCAGTCGAAGGTTGCCATCGTACTTTCCAATAAACTTTGAACTGTCACCATCCGTCTGTTTATAAACTCATCGATCAGTTTAAGAAAGAACAGGATCATGTTGAAATAGTACACACCTGGAAACGTAATTATGCGCAGATAATTCGAAAACTGGAAGCACTGACCGAAAATTATGACAACTCGGTTGTTATGGACTACCTCAGAGGAATTTCACGTAGTACGGAGATATAACATCACGCTGAATTTATTTTTGTGATTATTCCGAGGATTATTCTTTGGTTTTCCGGTTTTAGGTTATTTTATTTAGGGGTTCTGCATTCTGGGTTATTTTGTAAACCTATTGTAATGTTTATTCAGAGGTAAGACGTGTCCTGGGCGCCGTTCAAAAGAGGGCGCTAAAATCGCCAATTATTAAATGTAAAAATCAAAATAAACCACAATAGGGGAGCATCTACTTTAGTTTGTGTGCTTTTAATTAATCCCGATCGATCGATTGTTATTTAAGCTTAAAGCAAGTTTGAGTAACCAGCCTCCGGCGTCCCTGTAATCAGGGTACGATGACCTTAAAAATTCACTCGACTTCTGTTCCTCATAGTGAAGAAGACACTTCTTGGTTCAACTGTTCAGTGATAGCGTACGTAGAACTACAACACCTCTGTTCTCCATCGCGGAGGCGCCCCAGGTCCTATTGTTCACGTATTGTAACGTAGGGTTATTCTCATCCGTGTTACAGCTGCATTTGACATCTGGGGCTGCCATCTGATGTTCAAATAGCGTGACCATTCTGTCATTTAAAGTCGCCGACACGAACCTTTATGCCTCCTAACCCATTACTTCAAAAAGAGTGAGAGCAAGCACCGGCGGAACGTGTTGTACGTAACGTCGAAGCGTCACCTCAAAGTTAATACAACCTCCAGAAGTGTATCTGCTTTTTAGGGGAATTTGTCGAGAGAAAAAATTCCCCTATGTGATGGTTCTGTCTGTCCGTCCGACTGTTCCTTGTCTAACTCAAGAACGGGAAGAGATAGCCGGATTAAAAGTCGTGTTTTCGAATGCGAGCTGATTTAATTAGGTTCGAGCGGTGCACGAAGAATTCCCCTTTTGAAAATCGTATGCGATTCTTCGTATCTTGTTTTATATTAACGAATTTACCAAGGGGCGCAATTTTAATGCTTGGCTCTAGACGCCATTTGGGCATACCACGCCACTGGGTCTATTTTGCCAACATAAGTAAGACGCATAGGTACATAAATCCCTATATGTACAAACTGAGCCGGTATTTTGGGCTATTTTGACGAGGCTGTTTTGCGGGGTGCTTTTTTGACGGGCCACGCACGCATTATTTTACGTTCTAGACTTATGGAACAATTTGAGAAGACGTATGCGTCAGAATACGATCTAACTTCCACGTCAAATGATATGCAAAAGCTCATCCCAATCGCAAGTGAGTCCGTTATACCCTCGATTATACCCTCAGTCTCTTGGTGGCTTTGCCTAGAATGAAATACTTCTTTTTTCGAATTATACTTCAGTCAGTAACGTAAAGACTGCATCGACTACGAACGATTTCTATGCGATTTCATTGGCTTCCTACAGAAACTACTGTAGTTCGTAGATTTCGTTATAGCAGAAATCCTTTCACAATTCTGAACCTTGCTGAAGATGGCGGCTTCTACCGACTTCCCTAAAGATCAAGGGAATTTCCACCGCCATGATTTCTGCGACTGCGACCGGTTCAAATTTCGAATTCCGCATTTGATTTTAGGGTGTTGCAGAAACACTTCATCGGCTGTAACGAATTTGTGTCCGATTTATGGAGATTTCGGTGTGATTGTAAAGCAATTTCAATTTTCATTGTGTTCCTGTAAGATTCCATTTAAATTTTCACTACACCGATTGCAGAAAGCTTCTGGTTTTCTTGTGGTTTCTGCAACTGCCGTTACAATATTCGGATTCCGAAATTCTATCGATTGCACTAAAAATCAAGGGATTTCCCTATACGCCTTCTGCAACTGTGCGCGTTTCAAAATTCATATTACCAGCAGATTTCAGGGGATTATGCGGGGGATTACGTAACGAATGAATCTCCCTCGGAATCTCCTGCGAGTGATTTTTGTATCATCCTGAGGAATTTCCCGGTAAGTGCAGGCGATTTCATTGGCTGGCTACCAGCGAGAACTCGGAGATATGTCGTATATTTAGTTTAATATGCATTGGATCAATGACTGTACCTAAATATGTAAATAGTTCTAGCGAGGCGATCAAATCGATATCTTGGGCACCTAGAAAATGCGTTCCTCGTCCAAATAAATCCAGCAGTTCCTCTCTCTAAGAAAATCATGGCTATTGCGGCTTGTTCCGAGCGTACTAGTTGGTAGGTCTACGATAAATCATGTTGAGTTGCAAGACCTCAAAGAACCAGATGAAACAACAGCTGTGTTGCAGGTATATTAAACATCTTTCTTCAGTTATTATAAAAAATTTGAGTATCTGACAGTCTTCCAGTCATCCTCTGTATCAGCTTCAGAGTCTCCTTTACTAAAATAACGTACAAAATTGAGCCCGAGTAGGCTGTACGCTATACGATTTGCACCTATTGGACATTGGTGATTTATCTTCAAAGAATTACACAGTGTTTGATAATAGAATCAGCAGGGTTTGATAAATTAGTAAAATTCAATAACACAAACAAATCAGTTTTATTTGTTTGAATCGTTTGTGTTAAAAGAAAAAAATACTTTTACATCACAGTCGAAATTCTGATTGTTGCTTGGTCAATAACACACGAAATAAATAACTGCTTCTGGTTTTATCTTCATAGAATTACAAAACGTTTGATAAATAGAATTACTAGGGTTGATAAATTAGTAAGTACCAAACCAACTGCACGAAAAAATAAATTTTATTTGCGTTGTAGTGTTAACGAAAATAAAAGAAAATAATAAAATAAAAATGTACAAAATATTCTTCATCAATATAAACGTAGTCGCGCCCACCTACTTTAATACTTCCTTTCTTCGTTTAATATTGGGGTGCTTACTTATACGGGTTGGCTGCCTATAGAAAATAACAAATTATTATTCACAGTGTCAAATGAGCAAGACGAGATCGAAAATCAAAAGACACGAGGTTGAATATTTACTCGTCTACGTATGCAAAAGTTTAGCATTTGATGCTAATTCATTTCATTCGTAGACGCTGACAATTGCGAAAATACAGTGAGAAATTGCAAATTGCGCAACTACCTGGAATATATTTTGAAATAGAGGTTTTGTATTTATTGTTCCGAAACAGAGCAGTTTTTTTCAATAATGAATGGGCCGAAACTAAAATGAAAGTCTGGTGGTAGTGGAATTCTAATGCGTAGAGAAGATAATTGCACTCGGAACTAAATATGGAGCTCGGTGTTTACGTATAAACAGGTCATCGTTAGATACAAATCAAGGAAGTTTGCTTATTTTTCCAATGACTGGAGCTTTGGCAGCTTCATCAATTAGACAAGTAAAAACGTGTATCGACAGATTTAAATTGTCACAATGCCAATTGTAGGGAAAAATGTGAGGTCGTTAAAGATGACCGATTTTTATACGTGACCGGATCTTAAAACAGGAGCTCGCAACCCTCTAATACCGTAGGAAGTGACGTAATGCATTAGTAGAACGTCGTAATACCAGAATGACATTAGATTTACGACTTATCAACTTTGTTCGCTCGGTTGCTCACGATTCTCTTTTAAGAATCGTTTTTTTCTCGTCATGGACGTTGCCCGCAAAGGAACTGTCAGTTGAACGAACAACGTAGTTGGAATAAAAACTATTATAATGCTTTAAATTGACATCCTGCGAGCGGCGGGGCGGCAAGCTAGCCCTAATTTGGTCATAATCAATCAGGATTAGATTGCGAACTGCTGCTATTCTAATGAGTTCAAGAATATACCAAAAGCATCCGACGATGTGCATTCCAGATAAAAATATCTCCCATCCACTTAGGTTGCCCATGAGAACGAAGAGGTTTGTTTACACTGCCACTCCGATTTATTTACTCCCGAAATTTCGACACTTTTTTACGCGACGCGCACAATTAACGCACCTGCAGCACCTCTCAAAACATGCGAACGCAAATATTTGATCACGTGCTTACCTGGACTAGTTTGCCAGCTGAGGCCACCGATAAACATTTTTCTGTAACAAAAACAGAAAATTTGTTGTAGCATTGGGGGAGTAAGTGGAGACCACGAGGGTAGGTTATGAGCGTGACATGGCGCGTGATTTAACCGGGTAATATCGGCATCTGCGTGACAGCCTTAGAAAAACTATTAAAAAACACCACTTTAATTCACCGAACGGCAAATACCGAATATTTCCAACAGTTAAGGGGGTACTCTGTGTGAGGTCAAACCTACCCTGGATCGTTTGGAACTTCAGCCGGGGAACCACTAGCTACAATCTCCTGGTTTTGAGGCTCCATAACAAACTCTATGATAGATCTCGAACTACGACTAAACTAAAGGTAAATAGAGACCGGGATGGATTAGCGGGCTCCCGGTTTTGTTCGTTCTGCCACACTATCAACACGATACTGACGAGTATAGACGTAGAGGAGCAGAGTACGTGGTCGGTCCTGTTCGACTAACGTCGCCGTAGAGGAGCACGACTGCGCTAACTACCCTGATGGAAGAGACAAAACAATCGCTGTGATTGGATGCAATCCGTGCATCATCAGTGCGACGACTGTGACGCAAAAATCCTTTACTGCGCTATGCACGATAATACGCGTATCGAAACTTTGCATAACGTAAGACGAATATAGGCCACTATGTCAATTTTAAATTTGGACTGGCACTCTTCATTAACTCCTTACGCACACGACCTCCTCCCCCACTGCGACGACACTACCGGACGCGCCAATAAATGTATTAAATTCACCGCCGCCTTTGACGCTCGCGCTCCGTTATTTTTTTATGCTTTTCCCAATTTCCGTACGCGACTGATCCGTTTAATCAATGATGGCGCTAGTTTTTAACGACGCCTGCCGCCGTAAAACGCGCCAATTTAAAATTCTGATATTTCGCGCATTTTTTGCGATCGACCGTGATGCCTTAAATGGAAAAATAGGCTCCAGAAATAGATCACTCCCGACGTAGTGAGGTAATCGTGTCGATAGATGACTCTCTTAAGCTATATCTTCTTATCCTCAATGTATGAAGTAAATACACTTAATTTCACTCAATAATCAAATTAATGTAAGATCATTTCTGTATTATGACTGTCTCTGCCGTCGGCGTCGTCGAATAGGCCTGAAGAAAAAGGGATTCATTTCGTCAAACATTTTATTCTTATTCAATCGTGTTATTATCTTCTTTAGTTGAACTCACAGCACAGTCCTACCTCACCAACTTACTTCTAGGGTGATTATTTAGTATAACAGCCCCCTCCTGCCAACTTTAAGAACAAACAAAAACCTCTTAGCCAAGCAGGTTTAAGTATTTCTACTTTTCACAGGATCGGTGGTTTTGAAGGATTTTTTACCATATTCGGTTTTTTCAGTATCTAGTATCATTTACTGGTATTTGCACCTCTTGAATATTCGTATAACTTTCATCAATAACAGAATTACTATGCTTAATTTCCTTATAGGATGCACATGCACACTAACTTCTCCCGATTTCTTCTACAAATTTGATTGTCTACATTTACATTGTACTAATATGAAAGAGGCTCCTCGGCCGATTATATATCCCTACTTCTATCTACGAAAATCTATTACCCATACAGAGTTCTTTGGTTTGATCTATTTGATTATAATTTATTTCAAGTCTCTCCATTCGCTTTTCCTCTCTTAAACAGGGAGCTGGTAGGTATCTACACATTCCTCAAGCTTTACTAGGAAGTACCTACTAGGAAGGTGTATTCTTAATTTTCTTTTCATTAGCAATTCATATGGATCAAAATCACAGTCAGTAATAAAGCGGCCCCTACACGATCAATATTTACGTCAATATGTTGTACAATATTTTGTGCAATGGCCGTGGTATTGTTCAATAATTAGTTCGCGAGTGATACTTGTGCACTATGTGCAGTCAAGATGTGGAATAATAAGAAGAAGCGCGAGTGGATAATAATAATAGTATTTTTTGTACTCCGTGGACTAAATCAACGTGTTTTGTCATTCATTTAAGGGACTAAAGTGCAATTTTTTCTCCCGGAGGCAGAAAAACGCGACGCGGTACAAAAAGTGACAGTACACACTGAATTGTCAAACACAATTTAATGATTAATGGTGACCTGTATTGTACATATTTATTCTTGCATCATATTTTACACTTATTATACCGTTTTCCATATATCTTTTTGAATTTGGAAGGCGGTAGGTTTCCTTATAGTTTGTTCTTCAGAGTTTTAAACGATCATTTGAACGCCGTAGTTTTAAACTAGAATCTTTAAATCAAACTGACATTTATCGTTATACGGTCACAATTTGACATTACCAGGTATATTGATTCTACAATCAATCAAATTTTTTCTTTCAAATTTGCACTTTAACATTGAAATTGCCGTAGCTGATTACCGGAGTACAAAAAATAGCGTATATACCACAAGACTAAAGTGCGTCCTAATCCCTCGGGTGCTTGTTGCCGTCAGCTACGTTTCGGGCAACCATCTGCACCCTCGGGATTAAAACACACACTTTAGTTCCTCAGTATATAATATACTATTTCTTGAATTTCGATTTCGCTACCTTTATTATAGCATCTTCGCACCTTTGCTTTAATATAAGTACATATGAATTCTTGTTTGTTGTGTATTCGAATTCGAAACATAATCATTAATCAACCACAACCACGATCATTCGAATTCGATGTTTAATTGTATTTCTTATTTTAACTAATTTGACAGTAAGATAATAATGTAACCCAACAAACAAGAATTCATATGCACTTATATTACAGCAAAGGTCCGAAGATGCTATAATAAAGGTAGCGAAATCGATAACCTCAAGAAAAAACTTTAATTACTTATTTCATACCTATCAATCCAATTTAATTGGAAACAGAAAAATAAAGAATTACTTGGTAATGGGAAACAATACATAAATAACTTTATATGAAATACAAAATGTATGGAAAAAAAATAAATAAACAAATAATTATATATAAAATATAAATAATATAAATATATAATTATATATAATTGTATATAAAATTGAACTCAACTCAAACGTTTGCCTACCAAAAACAATGTTACGGAGTGCCTTCTTTAATTTCCCGAAGGGTATGTTTTTAAAAATATTGCTTACAGCGTTATATTTTTTAGAAATATTGTATGAAAATGATCTTTCATATAATGCCGTTTTATGAATTGGTGGTATAATTAACTTAACGAATCTAGGGTTATAAATTGTAATTTTGTTATATAAATAAACAGGTTCATTTATTGTTACCACTTTATGGTATAAGACCATGTCATGCACATATCTATGATTTTTCATATTTAGCCATCCGGTTTTTTTTTAATTTGTTTGATATATGATAATGCTTTCTTATTCCATAATTAGTCTCAAACAGGAATTTTGAATTTTTTTGATTCTATTGGAATCATAAGTATCCAAACATGGTCCGTACACACACAATACACAAACTCAGAAACTGTAACAGGACAAGTGAGTTACAAAACGAAATTTTCATTTGTTGATTAAGTACAGAACGTTGATTAAAAATTAATTTTAAATTTGAGTACGCTTTTCTTATCCTATTTGAAACATGTGATTTAAATCTCAACTTGAAATCAATTTCTAACCCAAGAACTTTCACATCATCTTTAATTGGTAGAATTTCATCGCCCACTTTTGTAATTATATCATCTTTCCAGACCTCTCTTTCTTTTGCTCCTCAAAAGATGATTACAGAGGATTTTAATGGGTTTATTTTTAAGTTAAGTTGTAACAAGTCGTTGAGGCAGTGGCGTAGCGAAGGGGGGTGGAGGGGCGGTCCGCCCCGGGCGCCACTTTAGTAGGGGCGGCAGCGTCACACCTGCCAATAATATTCTGGAGTGCTTTTGAAAATAGCCAAAAGTGATTTTGTAAGCAACGACGATGACCATCGACTGACTTGAAGATTGTTTAACTGACAGAAACTGAGGCGCAAATACATGACGAAGAGAGAGAAGGTATAACCCAGAGATGGGGAAATAGCGGCCCGCACCATGGTTCGATTCGGCCCGCTGGAATCTATATTCGTAAAAACAAATTTATGAACAGAATGACTGAGGAACATCTTGAGAGCGGTTTGCGAATTTCTTCCACTTATTTGGGGCCAAATTTCGATGCACTAACTATTCATTTGTCATAGTAACCCAGGACATCGAAACAATAATTTTCGTCTGCTGATTTTTTGTTACTTACAATAAGTCCTCTTTGTGAAAAGATACCCTGTTTTCCGGCTATTTATTTATTTATTGTAGGGTGTGTTGTCCATCTGGTACATGGTTCATATAGAAAGCTTAAAGATATAATGTCAAGAGCCCCCCCCCCCACCCCGCCAAACAAGCGTTCGCTCTAAAAGTACTGAAATCCAGAATAAAATCAGACATTTTTTCATAAACGATAGGGAACTCAAAATGTTCACCAGCTCCTAAAGTATAGGGCGGAGGGTGGGAGTGTATATAATGAACAAAAGAGGTCCCAACACCGACCCTTGTGGAACGTCCATTACTACAGGTGTTGGATAAAGGATTGGTTTAAAGAAAGAAATAGTACACCCACTTACTTTTGATATTCCACAACGCAGGTAAGCTCCGATACACCTCGATACATTCTAAAATGAACTTTTTTTCTTCGTCTTTTCCCTTTGTAGTCATGGTCGATGTATACTGTTTATCAAGGACGAGAAGTGAATTTTCAGTGACAAGTCGGAAGTTTTACGTACCAGGCGTCTTTGGGCGCCGAGTTTTATAAGTATAATAAATGTTTTTTTTTAAATATATTAACTTTCGAAAACTGTATGCGCCCCTTCCTAGAACAAATTCTAAATCCGCCCCTGCAAACCCCCTATTGTTTAACAAGCCGATTAACTGTAGCATTCCCATATAGTTTTAGTTGCATTGGTCACGTTGGCTGGATATTTTCATTTTTTATAAGCGGATTATGGTGTATTTTGTGTTTCTATTTTTTTAATACAAATTAGTGATCTGTGATATGTTGTACCTACCTATTTAGGACTTCAAAGTGTTTCCAATATACCAGGTGAATATTCCCAAACCGAATATAGGGAATTTTTTTCTAGATTGTTGCTCCCCATGTTAACTTAGAGGGTTTATAATGACACCAATCGAAAGAAGATTTCCTCGTCTAATGATATACGAATTAGTTTATCTTCAGGTGTATTTCTCACTATTTCATCAAAAATTCGGCAATAAATCCACTTAAAAATCATGACTAGTGAGACAAAAAGCAGATTCAAACGTTGAAATCAATATCAGTTTATGACAACTGGCATTAATTTTTGTTGTAAAATGTATTTCACTGAGGACAATGTATTTATAATAAACAACGTTTACAGCGGAAATATTTACTCTAGTAGGTACGCGATTGTTTTCCGTGCATTTTAATGAGCGTCCCATTCGGTCTGTGTGAAAACCTATTTCAATTTTTTAGGAAATTTTCATTGCTTAACATGATTTTGCTAATTGGATTTATCGCCGAATTTTTGATAAAATAATGAGAAATGCACCTAAAAATAAACTAATTATCGTATATCATTAGATGAGAAAAAAAATCTTCTTTTGATTGGTGTCATTATAAACCCTCTAAGACATGGGGAGCAAAGATCTGCAAAAACGTTTTTCCTATGTTAATTGCCTATGTTCGGTTTTAAAAGATTCACCCGGTATACCTAATAAAAATGCACAGAAAGCATGTAGTAATAATAATTATTATTATCTGGAGTACCACCATTAAAAAC